AGAGAGAGAGAGAGCACAATCAAATCATCAATAGCGAGCTCCCCAGGTAGGGTTTGAACCTACGACCAATCAGTTAACAGCCGACCTCTCTACCGCTGAGCTAGAGAGAGAGAGAGAGAGAGAGAGAGAGAGAGAGAGAGAGAGAGAGGGTATACAGTAGCATTGAGTACTATGGATGCAAAGCTGGGACAAGTAGTGTGGAAAGCGCAATAGAAGCAACTGGTTTAATCCAAGCAGGTACGGAAGAATATACGCTGAGAAACTTTTCGGGCTGCGGCCGAAGTGCAGCGTCCGGTGCCCAAAAACTACCTGGTCATATGCTGGTGAGGCGCCGCCCTGTAGCCACTGTGAGTCTCTGGGGTAAGACAAGACAGCATCACACAACACCCACTTCATGCTTTAATAGTGTTAGGGAAAGAAAAAGATTTTGGGTTCTTATGGCCGCCAGAGGCTGCAGGACCTTTAACATGGCGTTTCTTTTTTTTTCTTTTTTTTTTAACTATAAACAGGCCCTTATGGTCCTGGCTCCATATCCATTCTGGGGAGCGTCAGTCCGGTACTATTCCCCCGGCAAGTCAAAAGTGAATACATCATGAATCCACTCACGCTTCCTTCCGTTTGGTCGAAGGAACCCTGACCAGCATTGATTACTCCCAATAGGAGGATTGACTGTCAGCTTGCCTTCCCCTGCAGTCCCTCTCAAATCCCTCTGTGGGAATCTGCCAGATAAACTTTAGAAAACAAGGAGAGTGGGGAACGGCCTGTAAGTTGCTATCTCAACCATCGTTTGTGTCTTGTGACTCATGTATCTGTCCTTATGTTGCCTGTGGGTCCTGCGGGMAGCCCGCAGCTTGTTGCAGTGGGCTTCTCCAGCTGATTTCCGAGTTGTGCCAGTCCTTCCAGCACATTCTGTCGTCTCTCAACTCCGCCACTTGTCCTCCCGCCAGCCACACTTTGACAAACTTGGAGAGGATGGTGTTCTTCCTCTSATCGTCCTCAGGAAGTGCCTGTTTCAATCTGTGCCATCTGCATAAGATCTCCGCCTGGATCAGTGTCCTGGTTTCTGTCCACACCTTTTCTCTTGACGTCGATAGGCCTTCAATCTTTCTGCTTCATCTCTCCTTCCATATAGCCCATAGCGTGACTTTCCTGATCATACCGTACCATGTCTTCTCTGAGCTGTTGAGGTCAGTCGGGATATTAGTCCACAGTAGAAGTTGGATGGGGTGTTCAGGAAATGACTTAGTGAACATGGAGTCCCAGAGATCCGACGCCCTCGCCCAGTATTCTGTTGCTTCTTTGCATCGGATTAGGCAGTGAAGTAGGTCTTCTGGTTCATTTTCTGAGCATATTGTGCATAGGTCGGAGCTGTTGGGATCATTCTTCCTTCTGCGAATGTGGAGCCACTGGTTGACCGGAAGCGCTACATAGGCTATCAGCCATTGTAGACTCCTGATTTTGACCGGCTTGATTGATTTATATTTCTTCCATGGAATCTGTGTGATTTGGTCTGCCTCTTGACTGATTAATTTTGCCCATCTGCTTTTGATTACTGGTTCCGGATCTTTGGTTTTGATGAATAATCTGTACCCCATCTTCACCGAGTAGTCTTGTATTTCTGTTTTCGTGCACTTGTTCCCTCCTGATGTCCATGCCCATTCTGCTGGGTCGAATTCCAAATCTTGGATCGCTGTGTCCATCTTAAAGATTGAGTTAGGCCAGGAGCCCATCACTCTCACCTTCCTGAGCAGAAAGATCTCTAGATTTATTCTTACTACATCCTTAACATGGCGTTTCTCAGTTTATATTTTTTTGAATTTTTTTTCTCAGTTTCGTTTTTTGGTCGCGTGTGTGTGCACCATGGCGATGTGCACAGTGCAACACGTGTAGATTGTATCAAGGTGTGAGGCAGTGTGCTGCTCAGGCATCTTTTTTTCAAGCTCGATTTCTCATCCCATGGCCCGAAATAATGTGACAACTCAGGGACCAGGTGAAGCTTCTCAGTGGTTATGTTGTCATTATTTGGCCGTGGCCCGTGGGTAAAATTGCTTTCTAGGCTTTCTAGTCTTTTTTTTTTATGCTGCAGAGGATCTCAACCTGCCAGGTTGGTGGTGATGTGTGGGAATCTGTTTCCTCATATATTATGAAGTTATATATGAACACAAGGACCTATGCGTGCGAAGTTGCCGACTCTCATCTTTTTTCCACTCTCTGTGTCTTGGTTGCAGGTCAGAGTTCTGGGATTGCCGCCGATTGAGAGTAGAGAAGAATCAGTGGCTGTATTAGGTGGTGTCGACATTTTCGGAGCCGGAGCTGTGGGAGCAGAGGAGGCTGTATCTATATATGTCTGTGCTCGCGTGACTGAACGTGATAGACTTGATTGGTGTGCATGTGCCTGGGTAGTTGGTGACTCTCCTGTTTGATCGGTTAATTGATAGGTCGAATTGATCGTGTTAAACGTGTTTATATAAGTTCCTTAAGAATGGTACCCTTCTTTGGTTGGTTGGTAGATGAGTGGATGCGCGAGTCAGTTGGGGGAGAGCAGGTAAGCAGGCAGTCAGGCACACACACACGCACGTAAGCAAAGAGCTGGATGAGTGGGTGAGCAGGTGGGTGTGCTAGTCAGTCCAAAACTAGGTTGGCGGGTCAGTCAGTGGGTTGGTGGGTGGTTTTGTGGGTAGGTTAGCCTGTTGGTTGGTTGGTTGGTTGGTTGTTTGGTTGGTTGGTTGGTTGATTGGTTGGTGGTTTGATTGCTGGTTCAGCATCTTAGTTGGTGGGTCGGTGCGTTGGTGGGTGGTTCAGGAGGTGATCGCTTGGTCAGTCGGTTGGTTGTTGTTTGGCAGGTCACCCGCTTGTTTTATTGATGGGTCTGGTTCACCCGGTCGGCTGGCCGCTCTTGGGTTGGTGGGTGGGTTGGTGCGTGAGCCAATTATTTGGTCGGTTGGTCAGTCAAATGGTTGTTTGATTGATCAGCTGATTGGCCAGGTCAGCTGGTGGTTTGGTGGGTGGGTTAGTGGGTGGTTTGGTGGGTGTGTTTGTTGGTTAGTTGCTGGTTTGCCAGGTCAGCTGGTGGGTTGGTGGGTGGGTTGGTGGGTAGTTTGGTCGATGGGCTGGTGGGTAGTTTGGTGAGTGGGTTGGAGGGTATTTTGGTGGGTAGTTTGGTGGGTGGGTTGATGGGTAGTTTGGTGGGTGCTTTTGTTGGTTAATTGCCGGTTTGCCAGGTCACGTGGTGGTTTGGTGGGTGGTTTGGTGAGTGGTTTGGTGGGTAGCTTGGTGGGTGCTTCTGTTGCTTGATCGGTTGGTTTGCTGTTTGGTTGATTGCCTTTTTGATGGATAACTCTATTAAAGTTTAAATAGTCCTTTGAATATGTCAATTGATCGAGAGGGACTGATCAACTGTCTCCATGTCTCTCGTGTCTTCTTTTGGTAAACTATGCTCTTGTTCGGCACACATGCTTCATTTGTTCTTTTCTGATCGATCTTAGCAGGAAGTTGTCCTTAACCAGCCAGTTTTTTGGGTTGTTAAGAATCGACTTCGAGTGCAGGAACAAGATGCCACGGACGAGATGTTTGTCATAATTTCGGACATTTGGATTGACCAACAAGAGGTGAGTTGGGGTCAGGTGATGTCGGAGGATAACAAGTCAACTTCTTCCGAATGTGTCTCCTCCTCGTCTATCTTGCCGTCTTCGTGTTGCCCATCCATCCCTGCATCCATCTCCTTCTCCGTCTGTCTGCCCATCTAACAACGGAATGCTACGGGCTCCGAAAGCAAATGCATGACTGCATGCTCCACGTGCACTAGGTTTGCGAAAAAGGTGTTTCCTTCCTGTGATTTCTTGGACGGAGCAACTCTGCCGACGAGCCCGTGGGATTCAGATGTGAAGCGTCTGGTCTTCTTCGAGCCTTCGCCAGGGTGGAGAACGTCGTCATGTGCTAAGAAATGGAATCCTTCTCCCGTAGTGACTATGGGAGTTTGATCAGGCACAAAGTGCAGGCCCATGGGTTGGAGCCATTGTGATAGCAACCAAAGAGCGCCGTGAACAACTCTCCAAGCCTTGTGTGAAGAACAACGAAAATCATCGGCGTATCTTACCACCTCCTTCCCCCGAATACAACGTACGGTCATTCTAGCTGCATTTAGACTGAAAGATGCCCCAAATTCAGCTATAATGACCGTACGTTGTATTCGGGTGCAGACTGTAGGATAACTCGGCCTTCTGGCTGCCTGTTGCTGCTGAGCCCACTCATTCAAAGCATTCTCCATTCTGTGCAAAGCAATGTTGGCCAGTAAAGAAGGAGATATAACTGAGGCTCGCCAGAGTTATATATAGTTATGGGCGCGGTCGAAGGCCGAAACCAGTCATAATGTCTGCTTTCAACCAGGCGATAATCTGCTTCTTCATCACAGGATATGTGTCTAGCAGCTTTTCCAAGAGGCACAAAGTGTTGATTCGATCAAAGCATTTTGCAATGTAGGCGTCAAGCACATGTTTGGATCTCTAATGGCTCTAGCCGGAGCTTCCATGGCATCTCTTGACAACCACGTCCTGGTCTAAATGAGGCTGAAATTGCCCGGCAGCTACATCCATAAGAGTGAGGCGCAAAACGGGCATCTTGTGGTACATTCAAAACCACATTGGGTGGGATCAGGAGAGCATATGCATGGATCGCTCACCTGAACCTCAGCAAAGCCTTCTTGTGACGCTAATTTGCAGCTCCTCACTCTTTGGCGAGAAGCTGTGGATTCGAGAAACAACAGCGTTTTTTTAGTTGTGCAATGCTGAAGTTGCAGGTCTCATCGTGCATCCTGAGAAAGCCTGTCACTCTGTTCCTAGTGGGTGCATTTGACTTGTTGGCACAGATTTGGTCAGACCTTGACTTTCATGTTAGCGAAGTCTATCAGCACCACCACTATCCTCTGCAGGTCGTTTTTCTATAATAAAAAAAAAAAGATATTACTGAGGCCTGGATGCTGCGATCAAGCCTGGGAAGTTCTAGATCTGTACCCCTCATGGTCAGACTTGTTCAAGGAAACCGCTTTGGAGAACTCAATTTAGAAGATATTACTGAGGCCTGGACTCAATTTAAGAGATATTAAAAGGAATTCGCATTAGTAGGCTTGGATCCACTCCTTCAGACGGACGTTCTTAGGGGTGGCGTCTCTGTTTTGCTGCAGACAATGGAGAAACTAGCGACCGTTCTGGACGGGTTTGAAGGAGTGGATCCGGTTCCGTCGGCGCTTGTGTTTATCGGCAACTTCTGCTCACGACCGTGCAACCTTGCGAACCACGACTTCCGTAAGATGAGGTGAGAGTTCTTTCTTTTGCAGGCGGTCTTTTTTCTTATACAGTTTTGTTTGGTCACAGCAGAACAATGTTTCTTTTTTTTTTGGTTGTTTTGTTGTTTTAGTTTGAATTTGGACCATTTGTTCGATTCATGTGTGTCATCCTTGATTGTGCCGGGGGTGTGAGAATCAACCTCTTCTGAATCGCTTCCAATGTTAACGGATGTCCCACCAAACGACACAGCGGGATATTGTTGTTTCAAGTCCCGCTAAGGTTCCACGAAGCTGAGGATCAGTCATGTGTCCCAAAGGGAATCAAATTCACGTTGGCAGTTCCATTGACGTTGGCTCCCTTTTTGTCCCTGCGGCCTTTCGCTACGTTCGTTTCACTTTGGCGTTTCCATTGATGTTGGCTCCACTGTATATGGTTTTTCAAAAATGTCAGTGAAATGCTGGCGAATGGTAGCAAAATATGTCGGTGAGTGATGGAGACTCTTCAGTCCATAAAGCGAAACACTGTTCCGTGCAGGTATGTCAAAAAGCGAGAAGGCGACCGTAGTTGATGCCACCATCAGTAGAGGCCGTTTTTTTTTGGCGGGAAGCAGTACGAACCTACTATGAACTCTCTTGACCGAATTTGGACGTAATTGCAGTTAAATGCATCCAGGTCTGGCTGTAATTGGGGTCAGCCCGGTCAGATATATATCCAGGAAAGTCCTGCCATCTTTCCCCGAGCATAACACATATGCGGTCTAAACGAGTATAACACATAGGTTGCTTCCTATTTGAATACAACGCAGCCGGGTTCTATTCGAAGAGCCCTTTTATTAGAATACAACGCATATGCGTTCTATTCGAGTCGTCGATCTGTTTTTTTTCTTCGAAAAACTCGAATACAACTTGTATGCGTTACGTTCGGGGTAAGATGGTAGTGTGAGTATGCTCTCTCGGTCACCTATTCTTCACCTGGATCCTCCCCAACCTGGCCCCTCTTGATGTGGTCGTCATAAAAAATCTGGTCATGTTAAAATCTGGCCGTATTCGACTGTGGTTACCATAAACCACCAGTACTTCCCAAAGCCGTGCCCCTTAACAAGCCACGATTGTAGGAAACGCACGGTCCACTACAGGAGTGCCCAAATTCATCCAACTAGAAACGTTTCTACTCTATTTTTTTTTGTCGTAGCCAATACCTGGGCCAAGTACTGGTGGTTTAAGTATTTCCCTTCAGTGTCTTCTTGTTTAGGGTTTAGGGTTTAGTGTGAGGATTGAGCCCTCAAAGGGGCCTTGCCGTGATGTACATGTCCTGGGCTAAGCCCCCCCAGCAAGCCTCGTGCCCGCCCTAAGTGAAGGCGGGCCAGCAAATCAACGAGAGCCCCTTTGTTCAAACATTTCACGAAGTGGGGTCCATACAGTTGCCGCACGCCAATTGGTTGGAGTGCACCGAGACCCGGATCTCTGCAAATGCAGAAGAACCAGGGCCCCATGATTGGTTAGGCCCTGGGCACATAAACGTGAGGCCGACATTGCATGCTGGAAATAGAGGCCGAAAATGCCAATGGGAAACCGGTCCACTATCTGAATCTGGACGCAGGCCTGGATGAAAGAGGCGCAACTGTATTTCGTGGGCCCCAACCACATTGGGCCTGGGTACAGGTACTGGGGCCCAGGCGCAGGCTCAAGGGAGGCCGCCCACACGCAACACTGGCATATAGGCAGAGAGGGCAGGTGGGCAGGGATCTTGGCCATTGCGAGCAATGCCGGCACGCTGAAGCACTGCGAGGTGCTGCGCTGCGCTAGGCTGAGGTGAGGCAGGCTGGCGCTAAGCGGTAGAGCGCAGCCTGGGCGCAGGGCGCTGGCGGCCATAGGCGGGCTGCCTGTGGGCGCAGAAGAGGTGAAGGGCGAAGGGTGGTTCTTCGGAAGGTGAAGGGCGCTGTGTGGGATAACAAGGGAGAGTGAGGGTGAAGAGAGAGATGTACCTGGTGGAGAGGAGGTCGGCATTGGTGTTGACATCATCACTCGCTGGTCGTCAAGTTGTCTGGTTGCTTCCATGCTGTAGTTGTAGTGTTAGGCTGTAGAGTAGATAGGGCGCCTGGCGCCATTCAAGAGAGAGAGCTACATTGGGTTATGCTGTTGGTGTTGCCCGATTGGGCTTGGACACTGACTCACGATTCGTCTGTATCGTTCTCAAATGGATGGTTACTCGGTTCCATTGTGCTCTCTGCTCTTGCTTTGACTACTTGGACTTCAGTGTGATTATGCAATTTGGATTTCTGTGCTTCGTCCACATTCATGTTCCTTGCATTTAGGGTCTTTTTAGATATTTTTTATGCATCCGGGTGTGCACCCTGGTAGGTGTGACTTTCGTCTTTTTTTTGGTTTTCCTCCCAGTAGATCAAATAAGGAAGGGGTTAAGGAGGGGGTGACAGACCACTGATAACCCCCTTGATATTGCCTCCGATTCCCCAGGCTCTTCAAACCGACCCTCTCGCTTCATTACAGTTTGTGACAAGATGCCAGCGTGTTAGCCACAAAATTCCGTGCATGCTATTGGAAAGCGAACATTCTCGCTCCTCTCATGGTTTTCTCAGTGAACATAACGATGTGCTTCATCGGCAACAAATTTGAGATGAAGCAAAACAAAAAGACTCACAATTTTAAATTTTTCAAATGGGAAAAAAAAACCTGCAGGGTCATTGCAAAACATGGAACAGGAGGTAAAAGATTCCTGCTCCTCTTTTTATTTATTTATTTGGATGATTTATCGACATATGGCTGTCATCCTTTATTGTGCAGGGGCCAATATGCTAATTACCCTTGTCGGTATCGTTCCAATCTTGATGGATGTCCCGCGAAGGACAGATTCCTGCTCCTCTTATTTGCATTGTAGGTTGTGAAAAATAGACATAAGATGCTTTGCATGTCAACACTGCGGGGTTTTCCGGAAAAAAAAAAGGAGAAAAGAAGATGCTTTGCATATCCAAAGTCTGAACGTGATGGCCAGTATGGCTAGTGGCGAAATCATTGTGACGCTTGCGATTTGTGAACTGTTTCTGTCTACTTCTTCTCATATCTTCGAGCGTCTGATTTTTTATTATTATTATTTTTATTTTTTTTTGTTTGTCGCTCTGCTTTGATTTTTTTCTTTCTCTCTTTTTTTTTTTTTTGAAAAGGGCGATGGCCTTGGGATGTCATCTTCATACTGAGCCCCGGGTAAATTCATACTAAATAGTAATATTCCCTCATCAAAGTTGATTGGGATTCCAACTGAGGTCTGTATTTCTTTTTTTTTGGGGGGGGGCAATAAATGGGCTTGCGACTTTCCATGTTTCTTGGCCGCTTCCAGACCGTTCTATTCTCGTCGGTCTGCACTTCTTTTGCTGCTGCTTTGCTCATCTCTCTAAAATGCCTCTGGATTCTGCAAGGAAAAGCTTGTAGAGCGCATGAAAGGTAGAACTTGGGGGAAAAAAAAAAAAAAAGAAGTGATTCAGCAAGGAAAACCTTGTAGAGCACATGAAAGGTAGAACTTGGGGGGGGGGGGGGGGGGACTTGGAATCTGTGTAGCACACCGAACCGTGTTCGGGGCTTTCATGAATGCCCGAACACGTTCGGGTGTTTGGCTGAACGCCTCCCGAACGTGTTCGGTCGAACATTTTTTTTTTAATGATTAAAAAAAAAGGTTTTTTATTTTTAACTCACGTTTGGCTAAGAATTTGAACATTCCTCCCAGGCAAAAGTTGTTTGTATTATTATTTTACATAACAGTTTCTTTTTTCAGTTTTTTCTGAGAAACTTTTTTTTTTTTTTTTTTTTAATTTGGACCATTTCTCGATTTATGAGTGTCATCCTTGTGCAGGGGCCATGGCAGCCATGCTAATCTTCTCTGTATCGTTCCAATTTTAACGGATGTCGAGAAGGACAACTATTTTATTTTTATTTTTATGTTTGTGTTTGGAGGGTTTTGGCGCTCGTTCGCGTTCGGTCACGAACGTTTGGGTTCGGTCACCGAATGTGAACACGATGCTACACAGCTTAGAATGGATAAAGACAAAGTTAGAAGAATCCCCATGCCGTCGTTCATTTCATGATTTTCATCTCATCTGATGTCATATGTTACGGTTGCAATATTGTGTCTGCTTAACTGTCAAATCAGATCACAGTTTGCAAAGCTTGGGGAGTTGATTGCCGCACATCCTCGGATAAAGGCAGCAAGCCGGATGATCTTTGTACCTGGCCCCGGCGACGTTGGTGAGTTAGTTACTTACAGCAGATGCTTAACAAGTGTGGAATCTTACTATCCTAAGTTCACCACCTTCGCTGAATTCATGTGTAAAAGGGCCTTTACCCGATATAGGCCTCAGGCCTTGTAAAAGTAAAGCAGCACGGGCCTTGTAAAAGTAAAGCATTGTGAAAAGGTATTTCGCCAGGGCTCAGAAACGTGAAAGCAGGTCAAAGGTCAAGTTCTCTATCAACAGGCGCATCTAAATCTGAGGCAAAGGGCATTGTCAAAAGACTTACCTGTTCACCAGGAGATGTGTATGTCATGTCTGTTCGGGTAAGAGTGTGTCTGTACGTGCTGGCAATGTACCTGTTCGTGCAAAGGAAAGTGTCTGTTCAAGCAGTAAATGTGTCTGTTCGTTGAGAGTTGTGCCTGTCCGAAAGTAAAGTCAATAGGCACAGTCCCAGTTCTGGTCTAAATCAAGGGGTCAGTCCAGATCCAGACTTTCAAGTCCAAATACAGGCCGAGAGGCCTCAGCAGCAGTTGAATTTCATTGGGACWCTACTGGGACACRTGCAATGCAGGGTCTGGGACAAAGWAAGAGGCTGRACTGAGCCAATGTAGACCCAGCGAGGAGAGRCCAGCACTACAAAAGGGGCAGCCAGCCTCATTCCTCGCCAGATCTCCACTGGCTGCAATGCGTGGAAGTGCTGGTGCACTTGTGCGCTGAGTCAGGAGGAGCAGCGCTGGAGGTRGRAGATGCGCTGAGTGCAGGAAGAAGCCTGTACGCTGGAAGTAATGCAGCCATAGCTGCCCAGMGAGTTAGCATTAGTAGCAGAGAGTTAGTATGTAGCTATGAGTAGTATCCAGAGTAGATCCTCAAGAGTGAAGAGTGTGTATGCATCGTAGGAGGAAGGGACTGAGGCTGAAAGTGTTCATTCAAGGTTCGGCTATGGAAGATACTTACCTGGGTTAGCTGTGACCTGCAGAGGTGGCGCTGATGGGTAGTGACCACATTGACGATTTGGAGACTATCTGCAGGAGTAGCGCTGATTCACTGGAAGCCATATTGATGAGTTGACGAGAGATTGGTTTTGCGCTGATGAGCGCTGGACTCAGGGGAACTTTGAAACACTTTGTATTCATATTTCTGATAATATAAGCTGTGGAACTCGGTCCTCTTCTCATCTATCTTTGTCTATGAATGGAGACTATTGATCATTGTGTGTGAGAGTGATGCATGACATGTACACACTTGCGTGAGATGGTCCCCAGGACCCATGCAAAATTTGGTATCGGAGCGGATGCTCGCTACTCTCATAGCGCTGGTCTGATCAAGGCCGGCGAAAAGAAATGGTGATGGAGGAAGAGTGAAGGAGGGAGGAAGAGAGGAAGGGTTTTGATAGTGGGGGAAGCAGGCCGAAGAAGAAGTGGCGAAGTCTACTTACCTGGAGCGTGCGGAGCGTCGTGGAGCATCATCGGCGGGGCATCTTCAAGAAGAGAGAAGCACGTCCTTTTCCCTGAACCTGCATGCATGTGTGTGTCCCCTACCTTCTCTCTCTCTGACCCTCTGAAGGTGACTGCTGCTGATCTGGTCAGGAGTCGAAGTCTGGATCCGGGTTGTCATAGCTGTCAGGTCTGAGCCGTCAGAGTCTGATGACCCAAGTGTGATGTGTCAGGAACTGGTCACACTAGAGTAGGTGGTCCAGTATTCTGCGAACAGGAGTAGATCTTTCTCCGATCCCTCTTGATAGGCAGGCTGGGTATCGTCGTCAAGAACCAAGACTCGATGTGGGAAGTGGCTAATTGCCACATCAGGTTGCATGTACCAGGCAATACAAATATGATGATCAGTAATTACAGGGCCTGTTAAGCCCGAAAGAAAGAACAGGGTATACGAAGTATCTCTGCCTGGGTGGGTAAATGAACCAATTGCATCTGACTTCTTTGCGCTATACTCCATATCTGCACCCAGCAACCAGCCAAGTTAGTACCAAAAAAAGAGAAAGCAAGACAACAGACACACATTACCAAAAGTTCGATCCAGGAGGCCCGACAGCACATCAAAAAAAATATATATATATCGTCACAAACAGAACAGTTCGTTTCAGTTCAATCTATTGTTGGCTGTACGCAGCACCTTCTATAGTCAAACAGAAGGAAAAAAAAAAGGTACAGTACTCCAGTCACCGCAGCTCAGGAACTTGGTGGGATAGTACCTTGGTGATCCGGCGGAGGCTCCCCTGTGCCGGTAGTCATCATGGATGACTATCCCATCCAGGGCCTGTTGGCCCTTTCTGTCTTGTTGGGCCCGATTTTCCGGCTTAGGTTCCCACTGGGGTTCGGGCGTGTGTGCACGTCCCGCATGCTGATGCGGTCCGGAACAGTGAAGCCTGGCCCTACACCTGCGGAGCAGGCAGAAATAGACCGCAAGATGGCAGAAAAGAAAAAGGAGAGAGAAGCAAAGAAAAAACAGAAAGAAGAAGAAGCAAGAAAGAAAATGAAAGAGAAAATGGACAGGGAACTAGAAGAAGAGTTGAAAAGTATAGAAGAAGAAGAAGAAGAAGAAGAACAAGAAGAAGGAGAAGTCCTGGAAAGACGTCGTCGCCAAGACATACCGGAAAGCAGTACCACGACCCGCCTTCCTGTTGAACCATTGGACTGCGGTAGCTGGTACTACTACTCCGGCGAGCCACTAAAGGAAACTGATGAAGAACGGGATACGTTCATCGCCAAATTGGCCACTAAATCGCAGACTGCTGGCCGCTAGACGGCAAGAGGTGGAAGAAAAGAAAAAATTGCGGGCAGAAGGGGATAAATTGCAGAAAGCGCTAGCAACGCAAAAGGAAAACCCCTCCGCAACTGAAGCATAACTTGCACTCCTCAGGGAGGCCGTCCTCAACACGAGGCAAGACATGGACTTAATGCGGCAGACTTTGCAACGTGTCGAAACACATCGGGTTGAATTCGAAAACGTCTGGAATAATTTTGTGGAAAAGTCAGCAAAGGATGTTGACCAACATGTGCAAACATATATCCAGGCTTTGGACGAACATATTAATAAAGTCTTCACCCAGAAAGTCGTAGAAAAGATTGTAAAGGGAGCTGGAGGAGGCGGAGGAGGAGACGACGATGATGGCGATGATGACAAGAAAGGGAAGAAAAAGATTGGGGATCCAACAGACAAACCTTCTCAGGAGGCCGAGCAGGTTAACAAAATAAAACTTAAACTGCCGTGGACCTACAATGGAAAGAAAGAAGAGAGTGTGTTGCATTGGGCGGCGACATTTGAAACGTATGTATACGGACAGCGTATTCCCTATTGGGACAGGGCATTGATGGCAACATCGTGCATGGGAGGCGACGCCATGAGCTTTGTCATCTCGCTGCAAAAGGAAGCGAGATGCAACTCCATGGTAGAGTATTCGCAGCAAACGCGAATCGAAGATTTTCTTAAGTTGATTAGAGAAACATTTGAGGAGAAGAATTTGGCAAGACGAACAAAAATGTTGATCCTCAGCCTTCCTGACAGGAAATGGAAGAGTAACTCTGCACTAAAGGCAACTATGGATGAACTATTGCAATGCCCTGATCATGGGTTGACGCCGGCCCAAATCTTAAACAGTTTTGCACGAGCACTCCCGGATCCCCTGAGAACACAACTCTATCCCCGTACCAAGGAAGAGGGGATGACATATGAGAAGTTCGGCAAGATTGCCATAGATCATGCCGGCTTCCTCGCTGAAGCAAATTATTGCCATTATTGGAAGGATTTGCAAGCGGGTAAGAGATGGCAAAACCGCACCATCTCAGGGTCTATACCTGGGAAAGATAGTCTCCTTCTAACCTTTGAAGAAGGAGGCGCCGAGACCATCTCCTGGGATCAGGTAGACTATGGTCTCGATGAACCCAACAGACCGGTAGCTCAGGAGGGGAGTTATGCGGCTGTTGCAGCCCACGGGGGAGGGCGTCAAGGAAGAGGGCGTGGCCGAGGAAGAGGTCGCGGCCGTGGTGGAAGAGGATTCGGCACCCAGAGGGGTGGTGGTGAAGGAAGCGACTACGTGGGAGGAAGGGGAAATGGTCCCTCATACGGTGGCCGTGGTTCTTACTCCACCTGGGGTAGAGGAAGAGGCTCATGGTACAACAAATGGGACAAGTCATACCCACCACATCCAGGCCTACCCGAAGAAGAGCCTTGGAAAGAGTTGGGTATCACGGAAAAAGTTTGGGCCGAAAGGAAGAAGGCAGACCAATGCCTCAAATGTGGGGACCCCGACCACATTGTCCCCTATTGCCCTGACTATAGGGGGGAAAAAGGGAACAGCCAGTAGAGGTGCCAGTTGCCTCTATCGGGGTTTTGAATGTTGAGAAATCAGAATCCTCCCATTCGAAGGCCCCAATGGCAGAAACTGAAGAGGAAGTCCCCATCTAGTGCACTGTCCAGAGGTGGCAAACGTATGCACCTCTCTAGATGGATCCCTCGCTGGCGTGGGTGATGAGTTGGCCGCTCGTCGCCAGGCCTGGACTGAAATGCGAAAGAAGAAAGGACAGCTAATAATTGCAGATTTGGAAATAAATCGAGTTAGAGTAGGAGGTATGATAGACAACGGGTCTACACGCAGTTATATTAGTAAAAGAGGTTTGCAGAAACTGCGTCTTGGGCTTAAAGTTAAGAAGTTAGATGAGCCCATTGTAAGTAAGCTAGCTAACAGTAGTGAAACCATTATGGATCAATACGTTGAGGGGGTACAAGTATACTTTCAGCTAGAGGCAGAGGGGAAGGTGGAACGTGTTCTCCACTCTCTGACCTTCTTGGTGGAGGATAACTTGCCCTTCGATGTGTTGCTAGGAATGGATTGGGGTGAGGCTGCGCATGCGGATTTAAAATTGAAAGAGCATGAATGTTGGCTCCCAAGTCCGCAAGGAGATAAGAAGAGGATTCGTCTCTACCATGAGTCTCGAAAAGAAAGCAGCCTAGCTCACTGCTGTATGAGTGCCCCAGCGTTCGCTCGCCATGTTAAGAAACATAACTTGTATGACCAAGTCTTTGTTGCATATGTGCGCCCAGTCAAGGAAGGAGAAACTAAGGAAGAAGTTAAGTCTCAAGAAATCGAACGGATCCTACAGGAGTTCGCAGATGTGGCTGAAGCCCCGAGCGGTGTAGTCGAAAGACCAATTCGCCACCGCATTGATATCATTCCAGGGAGCGCGCCCCCGAAGGGGCCTACCTATCGTATGTCGCCCCAGGAATTGGATGAGCTGCGAACCCAACTCGATGAGTTGTTGAAAAATGGATGGATCAGGCCTAGCTCCTCGCCCTATGGTGCGCCTGTACTCTTTGTGCCTAAGAAAGATGGCGGTGTTCGCATGTGCATAAACTATAGGAGGTTAAACGATATCACAGTGAAAAATGTCGAACCATTACCGCGAATAGACGATTTGCTGGATCGCGTGCAGGGAAGCAAGATATTCTCGAAGATTGACTTGAAATCCGGCTACCATCAGATTGAGGTTGAGCCGGAAGACCAGCATAAGACAGCCTTCAGGACGAGGTTTGGGCATTATGAGTTCGTAGTTTTGCCCTTTCGTCTAACGAATGCCCCTGCCACTTTCCAAAGAACAATGAACGAACTATTTCGTGAGTGGCTTGACAAGTTTGTTGTGATTTACCTAGACGATATTTTGATTTTCAGTAAAAATGAAAAGGAACATACTGAGCACCTTCGACTTGTGCTAAATAAATTGCGAGAAGCAAAACTCAAGATAAACCCAAAGAAGTGTGAATGGGCTAAGCGTCAGGTTCTATACCTAGGCCATATGATTGATGGAGATGGGGTCAAACCGGAAGATGCCAAAATCGCAGTTATCAGAGATTGGCCGAACCCCCGCACCTTGACTGAGTTGCGGTCGTTTCTTGGGTTAGCCAACTATTATCGAAAGTTCGTAAGACACTTTACGATAATAGCTGCTCCCCTTCGCCGATTGCTTAAGAAAGAAGTGATTTGGAAGTGGGATTCAGACTGCACTATGTCCTTCAAGCGTCTGAAAAAGTGTTTGATCAATTATCCGGTTCTCAAAGTGGCGGACCCTTCCTTACCTTTCGTAGTCACAACCGACGCTAGTCAATATGGTATAGGTGCTGTCCTTCAGCAAGACGATGGGCATGGATATAGGCCTGTCGAGTTTATGTCTTGCCGATTACCTAACGAGAAGGTGACCGCTTCCACGTATGAACGAGAGTTGTATGCTCTACGTGAGGCTCTCAATCATTGGCGATACTACCTTCTAGGACGACATTTTAAGGTGTATTCTGACCATGAAACACTTCGCTGGCTCAAAACGCAAGCTCGAATGACACCTAAGTTGACAAGGTGGGCTGCGGAAAGTGATATGTTTGACTTTGAATTGAAGCCAGTCAAGGGTAAGTATAACGTTGTTGCGGATGCACTAAGTCGTAGATCAGACTTTTTCGGTGCTATTGTGACTTATCTAGATGTAGGTGCTGACCTACAAGAAAAGATTAGAACTGCGTATCCCCTTGATCCTGTTTATGGAACCATGATTAAGCTAGTGCAAGAAAAGCCAGCAGAGTTTCCCGATCATAAAGTAACTCAGGGTCTATTGTTTGAAAGAACTGATGTGCATGATAGGCTGTGTATACCCAATAATGAAGCGATCAAGAGTATGATCTTGGGGGAATGCCATGATCATGGATGGGAAGTATGATGTGGATAAAATTGTTGCAGAAAATACTTACCACACTGGACGTAGGGGTAGACCACAGCGACAGTATAAGGTGAGGTTTGCATACCAGGATCCTAGCGAGGATCGCTGGTTCACCAGGGAAGACTTGTTAGAATCTGCACCTCATATTGTGTCTGCATATGAAAAGGAAAGAAAAGGAATCTATATCATTGATGAGTAAATGATTCTCAGAGGACTTCGAAATTAGGCCGGCGAGAGTAAAAGGGCCTTTACCCGATATAGGCCTCAGGCCTTGTAAAAGTAAAGCAGCACGGGCCTCGTAAAAGTAAGGCATTGTGAAAAGGTATTTCGCCAGGGCTCAGAAACGTGAAAGCAGGTCAAAGGTCAAGTTCTCTATCAACAGGCACATCTAAATCTGAGGCAAAGGGCATTGTCAAAGGACTTACCTGTTCACCAGGAGATGTGTATGTCATGTCTGTTCGGGTAAGAGTGTGTCTGTACGTGCAGGCAATGTACCTGTTCGTGCAAAGGAAAGTGTMTGTTCAAGCAGTAAATGTGTCTGTTCGTTGAGAGTTGTGCCTGTCCGAAAGTAAAGTCAATAGGCACAGTCCCAGTTCTGGTCTAAATCAAGGGGTCAGTCCAGATCCAGACTTTCAAGTCCAAATACAGGCCGAGAGGCCTCAGCAGCAGTTGAATTTCATTGGGACACTACTGGGACACGTGCAATGCAGGGTCTGGGACAAAGAAAGAGGCTGAACTGAGCCAATGTAGACCCAGCGAGGAGAGACCAGCACTACAAAAGGGGCAGCCAGCCTCATTCCTCGCCAGATCTCCACTGGCTGCAATGCGTGGAAGTGCTGGTGCACTTGTGCGCTGAGTCAG